GCGTTCAGAATACAAAAAGCTGCAACAGCTCCTGGGGACGCACCCAGAGCTATCACAAAGGATGTGGCAGCCCGCTCTGCCATCATGTTCCGCTCCAGAGTCTTGGCACAGTACAAATGGAGGGCAGCGCAGTAGCCCTATTTGGGGATATCCCATTCGCAGCACTAGTGGAACGACGTCAGCTGGCACCAACAGCCAAACGGCTAAGGGACGCGGAGATCAGATACAGGTGGGGTGCAGATGGATCCCTGGCAGTACCACAAGGAGAGCAGACACTTGCCCTGACCTCCGCAAATGACCAACAGCTATTTCTCCGGCGGCTGAACCTGCAGGAAAAAGACACAGTGGAACCCAGAGACGAAGGTAATCACACACGGCGTCAGACCAAAAGCAACCAAAGGCTGAAGAAGGGCATACACATGCCAACCTTACCTAAGAGACACTCTTAGACTATACCATGAAGCTAACATACCCCATATCTGGGACCCCACAGACGTCAAGCACCTGCAATGAAACTCGGACTCAGACCACCCACTACAAATACTGACCTCCCTGACACCGCCAAGTTGATACGCATATTTAGACAGTTCCTGTAGAATGTTCATAGTGCTTACTTATACTGTCATTTACTGTCAATAATATCAGACATATAACCATCTTGGCAACTTCTAAAAGTTACTTATTATTTATGTTTAATGTTGACTACAAATTATTCCTAACTGCATACTGTGGCAATGCTACATTTTGAGTATTCAAACTCAAATAAAATACAAATTATAAAAAAATAAAATAAAATTGTAAAAATATTTATTATCTTAAATGGTTTTGGATACATTTTGTATTAGTTTTTTCTTTATAGTTTTTGTTTTATATTATTGATAGTCTTATTATCAATTAATATTTTCTAGTTTGCCTGTGGACTCACCAACAGTAATATTTTTAATTAATATATTAAATGTTATGTTTTAGTTAAAATCATACTAGTAGGCAAGTACCTCTTTAGTTTGTTACCTTTTACTTAGGGTTAGCCCCTTCCTCTTGCCTCAGCATCTCAGACCCTTCTTGTTCCTACCCCTCAGCCCATTACATTATCCACAACAAAGGATATCTTTCCAAGGGCCATACATGTAGGTCACAGACCCAATAAGAGCTTTAGATAGATCTGTGGGATATTGTTCATGTATCTTACAGGTAAGGCAGGATTAAACATTGTTTCTTGTTATCTATGGATCCCAATTCTCATTAAACTCTTTTAGAATATAATAAATAATTTAGACAGTGCGTCAGGAACATGCATTTTTATATTATTGGCTATAAATAATTATGTCCTTTCCCTTTAAGTTCACAGGTGCACTGAGAAGGCATTGGGCACTCTTAAAGGACCACTATAGTGCCAGGAAAACTACTTGTTTTCCTGGCACTATAGTGCCCTGAGGGTGCCCCCACCCACAGGGATCCCCTCCCGCCCCGGCTCTGGAAGGGGGAAAGGGGTAAAAACGTACCTTTTTCCAGCTCTGGGCGGGGAGCTCTCCTCCTCCGATCCTCCTCTTCTCCTCCCCGTCGGCTGAATGAACACGCATTCAGCTGGTCACATAGGAAAGCATTCATAATGCTTTCCTATGGACGCTGGCGTGCGCTCACTGTGAAAATCACAATGAGAAGCACGCAAGCACCTCTAGTGGCTGTCAATGAGACAGCCACTAGAGGAAATAGGGGAAGGCTTAACCCATTCATAAACATAGCAGTTTCTCTGAAACTGCTATGTTTATGAAAAAATGGGTTAACCCTAGCTGGACCTAGCACCCAGACCACTTCATTAAGCTGAAGTGGTCTGGGTGCCTAGAGTGGTCCTTTAATGAGCTGACACCAGCCTGTCATGCACATGTGCCTTGCATGTTGCTACTAACTAATTTTTCAGGTCTCAGAATCGCCAGCTCAACTCAGAACTGATTTTCCCCTTACCTCTCTGGGATTCTTTCAGAATCTACAAATCGGATCCTTATACTCACCTTGTTCCTGCATTTCTTCATTGGACTTCAAATATTCCTAGCTCAGCTGCTGAAAGCTAAATAAACTCTATTTTTTTGCACTCAGCTACAGTCTGACAGTTTGCCAGCCTGTGTATTTGTTTTTCCACGTTGGAATTGCTCTCTGCAGGAATCACTGATTTACCTCAAGAGTTATGCTCTGCTATGAACTTTGTTTTTTTACGGTTAATTGGTGAATTAATCTACAAGGTGAAGCAAACTATTTTATTTAGCAAGAGCTACTTTCTTTTTTGCTTTGTACTGTCAAAATCCGTTTCCGATTCAGACTGATTTTAAAAAGACTTTCATGTTTATTTTATATTTTTGTCAATAAAAGTCTCTGCAAATCGATATACTATTTTCCTGCTTGATCTTTAAGGAAGAGGAGTGAATATGACTCTGTGACCTTTTTTCCGTGGTCACTTCTTAGTTAATTTGTTCTAACTTTGATGGTGTTTATAGGTGGTTGATGGATACAAGATTTAAATTGAACCTGTCACTGTAATTTATACTCTCTGGAGATCTGAAATTTTGCTGTATACTGTCCAAAATTTATATTTTTTCTCTTACCTTTTATGGAGCTTCATTGTATTTTCGCTATACTCAACTCCTTCTTAACAGATCAAGTACTGCCATTAGACTGCCTTCATGAATGACAAAATTCCTGTGTGGACTCCCTCTGTTTGGGAAACCTTGGATGGCTTCCTCACACCTGTGACAGCCCCCTGATGATGCTGATGTACACTGCATTTGCTTGAACCCAAGCAAGAGAACAGCATGTAGGCTATTGCAGACAAACATAGGCACAGAGTTAATGCCAATAGTTTGTCTGACAGGAAGGAGGGGGAGTGCAATTTTAACAGAGGAGTATCAGTAAAAACATTGTATTGCCTAAAAATGTTGCCACCACAATGTACAGGCAGGTTGAGGAGAAGAATAAATGTATGCACTTTGTACTGATCCCATTGGGTCTTGGGCATGCCCATAAAATTTGACACACACCCAATGCTTCCAATGGACCTTTGTTGACTCTCACAATCACACGAGAGTCAACACAGAGTGCCAGTGATGCACCATTTAAAGAACTGACACAATTGCTGGGAGGAGGTGCGTACACCCAGTGACAAAGCTGTCAAAGACCATGGAGGTTTGTCAACCTTTAGATTATCGATAAAGAAATTACTTTTCCTTGTGTATAACTTTAAAAAACATAATTTAGAAAAAAATGGGGGGAGTGTGGCTGGATCATTCCAACATAAAATAAAAAGTGACAGGTTCACTTTAATGACTGCTGTAAATGAAAAACACCAAATTCAAAATGGGAAACAAATAAGTTATCCCTCAATCATCCATACGACTTGTAGAAATTATATTCCTTCATTAAAACACAGCACAGCTATAGATGTGAAGTGCCAGACATATGCATTTTCTGCCAATAAAGCACATGCACAGAGCTCAGCTATATAACAGCCACAAAAAGGATACCTGTTGTGGAATACCCCCGAGAAGATGGGTTACTACCGCCTAGGTTGTCCCTCCTCAGTTGTGAATGACTCCAGAGTGATTATACCCTCCTGCATAAGATACCGTTCTCTCACCCAAACACTAGTCGAAACTTAGTAAAGGGTGAAGAAGAATGGTTTATTAGGTCAATGCACACCAAATTTATACACAGACCCCCAGCATGGAGTCTCCATTCAACGTATCACAAGCCCGCCCAGGTGCCTCTGTGTCTGAGAGATGATTGAATTAGCTCTAGGTTAAACTAATTATCTCCCAGACACAGAAAGCCGAATACTTAAAAACCCTGAATACATATAAAATAAGGTGAAGCACCCCCACATGTCATACCCGGAAAGGTTTCTCTGAAGCACCCAATCTGTCCAAAAAGCACCCAGATTGGATTGGTCCAAGGTTCAGCGGGATACAACAACCCTCTGATTCGGCACAGGGCTCCAGAGTGCTGAGTAGAGATTCTTGGTCACCTAAAGCCATAGCTCTTTCCATGGGTACATGGAGCTTGTCACGAACGCACCCTACTCCAAGAGTGTGTGTGACGTAGTTGTGGTGGTGAAAGGGTTAAAGTTCACTATTTGTCTGCACTAGACCGTAAATAATGACAAAATCCTCCTTTTAACACCACCCACACTTAAACATAATAATATAAATATTACTATTTTAACGCTGCTACCACCAAGACAATTTAAAAATGAGGTGCCTTGGTCCCCCAGGTAAATCAATAATAAAACTCACCAAATATTAAGGATTGCAAAAATACTAACTAGTCTCTTCAGGTAACGTGATTCTTAACCAGACAAAGGCAGAACTTAATAAATGAATGTTTATTATGAGCAAAAATAGTTACAGTGCATATAAAAATATATGATAAACAAATTATTTACACCAACAACAGATAAAAACAAAAAGGATAAAATACAGAAGTCCTAATTACTCACTTAGGTTTTCAAAGTACAACTTCTGCCCAAGGGGTCTCTGACAAGGAAAGATGGTGACTCACTTAGATTCTGATCCCCAAGCAAGTACACCAACACCCCTCCAAATCATTGGATATAAACCCTGTGGATTATCAAGTCTTGCCCAGGGGTAGAGTTAAGTCGTACCTACAGAAACAATAAGTGGCCACCTCCTTTGTTCCAGACCACTGTCAATCCAACTGGAAACATTTGGCTCTATTTTCTTTTATGTACCTGCCACAGAAATAATAATTGCATCTACACATTTGTTATTGTTTTCCCATTCCACAGACATGTTGCATGCCCCACCCACGATCCAATAGAACAGACATCACAATTCCTGCCACACGGTTTAAGTTGTGCAACTCATGTTTAGGCTTAATTAAGAAATTGGGTTTGTCCCATTCCAGATATAATAAAAATAAGGCTTAATTATTAAGATGTGGGTAAGTATTAATGTTTCTCTTGGATATGATATTGGAACACAAGGAAGGGTCTTCATGAAACTAATACCATTACCATATCAAAGGATTGAACTATCAATTAAGAGTTTCCAGCCATATGGTCAAAGTCAGTTAATTTACATTGAAACTAGTCATACAGGCGACTTAAGTGTAAAATGTCTCACCTTGCAGGATCTTTGATAGATCAAAAAGGGCAATCTGTTTCACACCTCGCAGAAGCCCCTTTTGATCAAAAGAGCAATTTCTCTCTGCCATTTGTCCTCTAGCCAGGGGTCTAATTATTGATGCACTGCACAAGTTATAATAAACAGCAATATTCCATAGTGCAATAATAAATTATGTACCCTTTCCGTGACCGAGCTCCCCCAAGTTCTTGGTTTCGGGGGATGCCTCATCGTCCCCTCTTTCAACCCTCCAAAAAGTGCCTTGCTTGCTGGTTCAGGGACCGAGAGCGCTCTGATTGATGTTTCAGTAGACCGCGGTGACTCTGCGAAGCGCTCTAGAGTTCCATAAGAGTTCAGAGTTACTCCCGGTCAAGCACACTGTGTTTTCCTGGCTTTTGGCCGGTAAAGGCTGCTTCTGGGGCCGCAAACAAGTCTGGTAGACTCGGGAGACACGGGATGGAGGTTCAATACCTAGTGAAAATAGTCTTTTTGGAAATGTTGAGAGTTGGGGAGACCAGTACCAGGATTAGGTGACCTGAAGTTCTGTCACAATACCTATTTAACCTTACATTATGGTCTACTTCAATAGTAAATATGTTCTCCAGACTACTTTATACTTCCACTCTGCCAAATACTTGTAACTTGTGCTAAAGGTGGTGGATTTAACAAGGGATCAAACATTTGCTTAGTCTGAAACATCATTGTTGATATGGTTTCTGTTCAGAGGTCCAGTTTACCATATCTCTATAATATCCTGTCTGTCTGGTGTTTTTATATAGCAATACGCTCATTACATAAAGTTTTCATAAAGTTTTCATAAAGTAATGAAAAAATACTTAAGTCCATCAAGCTTACACATCTGGTTTTGCAGTTGATTAAACAGGTCAAATCTAATTTTCCACTTTTGCCAACCCTTCTCCTTTTTTACAAGTCCAAATAACATTAGAGTAGAGTTAGAGGTTGATTTTTGAAGTTGAGGTTCACTGGTGCAATTTTTGCCAAAAACCAGGGATATTCAAAGGACTGGATCATGACCAACATAGCCTCCTGGTGACTAGACACATGGTTCTGCTTTTTCTGGAGAAAGGCCCACCATTCAACCATGGTGGGAGGCTTGGTATGCTTGTGAGTTTACCCTAACCACAATCTGGAACAAATATGCTGACTGTTTGCTTGTAAATCCAAACACAAGGAAAGTGTTACTGCAATTTTTTTTTCTGTAAAATACATACCATATATAATTGCATTGATATTTTGGGGTGGAACTGGGGAGGGAGGGGTACTATGTGCATATCCCTGTAACGAGGGATAACATAAAAAATGCTAAAAATAAGAAATACTCGTATTCAAGATATTTAGTCTATTGCATAGCTTTCCAATTAGCTCTCAATACATCTTAATTAAAATAATTAAACATATTCTTATTGAGTGCAATGAAGAAGAAATTCTCACATAGCTTTTTTTTTTCAATTTACCGTATTTCACCGCATAATAATCCGCACTGCATAATAGTCGCACACTGGCTTTTCAGTACAAAAATTTGTTAAATTTCCATTTATCACGTAATAGTCGCAAAATTGACCATTAGTGATGTCCCGAACGGTTCGCTGGCGAATAGTTCCCCGCGAACATCGCTTGTTCGCGTTCGCCACGAATGGCGAACATATGTGCTGTTCGGTCCGCCCCCTATTCGTCATCATTGAGTAAACTTTGACCCTGTACCTCACAGTCAGCAGACACATTCCAGCCAATCAGCAGCAGACCCTCCCTCCCAGACCCTCCAACCTCCTGGACAGCATCCATTTTACATTCATTGTGAATCTGCATTCTTAATGAGAGAGCTGCTGCTGATTTGATAGGGAAATTGATAGCTAGGCTAGTGTATTCAGTGTCCACTACAGTCCTGAAGGACTCATCTGATCTCTGCTGTAAGGACAGCACCTCAAAAAGCCCTTTTTAGGGCTAGAACATCAGTCTGCTTTTTTTTCTGTGTAATGTAATTGCAGTTGCCTGCCTGCCAGCCTGTGTGTCAGGCTCACAGCATATACTGTGCCCACTTGCCCAGTGCCACCATTCACTCACTGGTGTCCCAATAGCTTGCATTCAAAAAAAAAAAAAACTTTTTGGACTGTAATATAATAGCAGTCTGTTTCCTTACGAGTGTGCGTTTTAGGGCCTGCCCAGTGCCACCACTCACTCACTGGTGTCCCAATAGCTTGCATTTAAAAAAAACCAAAAAACTTTTTGGACTATAATATAATAGCAGTCAGTTTCCTTCACGAGTGTGCGTTTCAGGGCCTGCCCAGTGCCACCACTCACTCACTGGTGTCCCAATAGCTTGCATTTAAAAAAAACAAAAACTTTTTGGACTGTAATATAATAGCAGTCAGTTTCCTTCACGAGTGTGCGTTTCAGGGCCTGCCAGGGCACAGTCTCACACCAGTGCAACTCATATCTGGTGTAACAGTAGTGTACATTTAAAAAAAAAAAATCAATTTCGACTGTAATAGGTTGAATAGCAGTTAGTTGTCTGCAAGCGTGTGTGTCAGGCCTACAGCGTCTACTCTGCCAACATCTGCCACTGCACAGTGTCACTCATATCTGTTGTCACAGTAGCTTGCACGCATAGTACCACTAATCGAAAAAAAAATGACAGGCAGAGGCAGGCCACCCTGCAGGGGCCGTCGTGGTCGTGGTGCTGTGATTTCCTTTGGCCCTAGAATAATGCCCAGTGTTCAGAGGCCACGTACCCTGAACTCGAAAAGTTCTGAGGACATAGTTGACTGGCTAACACAGGACACCCAATCTTCTACAGCTTCTGCTCGGAATCTTGATGCACCATCCTCCTCCAGCTTAGCTTTGGGCACCTCTCAAGTTACCACTCGCCCGCCTGCCGCCACCACCAACACTAGCACCACAGCAGCTTCACTTGGTATGTCAGAGGAGTTATTTACACATCAATTGGAAGAAATGAGTGATGCGCAACCATTATTGCCAGATAATGTAGATAACAGGGATATGTCTCAGTCAGGCAGCATTACACACATGGACGTACGGTGTGATGATGATGATGTTGTACCCGCTGCTGCTTCCTTTGCTGAGTTGTCAGATACAAGTGAAGCGATTGATGATGACGATGCGTCCGTGGATGTCACGTGGGTGCCCGCTAGAAGAGAAGAAGAACAGGGGGAAAGTTCAGATGGGGAGACAGAGAGGAGGAGGAGAAGAGTTGGAAGCAGGGGGAGGTCATCGCAAGGAGCTAGTGGCACAGTCAGACAGCATGCATCGGCACCCGGGGTCAGCCAGACAGCACGCCAATCAACGCATGCTGTTGCCACCACCAGAATGCCGTCATTGCAGAGCTCAGCAGTGTGTCATTTTTTTTTGTATGTCTGCCTCTGACAACAGCGATGCCATTTGCAACCTGTGCCAAAAGAAACTGAGTCGTGGGAAGTCCAACACCCACCTAGGTACAACTGCTTTGCGAAGGCACATGATTGCACATCACAAACGCCTATGGGATCAACACATGAGTACAAGCAGCACACAAACTCAAAGCCGCCATCCTCCTCCTGGTCCAGCATCTTCAGCCACGTTAACCACTGCTGTCCTCCTTGGTGGTGTACGTGGCTGGGGGGAAGAACATACCTTCAGTGAGATCACTGAGGACGAGGAACAGGACATGCGTAGCTCGGCATCCAACCTTGTGCAAATGGGGTCTTTCATGCTGTTGTGCCTGTTGAGGGATCCTCGTATAAAAAGACTGAAGGAGAACGACCTGTACTGGGTGTCCACGCTACTAGACCCCCGGTATAAGCAGAAAGTGCCTGAAATGTTACCGAATTACGGCAAGTCGGAAAGGATGCAGCAGTTCCAAAATCAATTAAAAAGTATGCTTTACACAGCGTATAAGGGTGATGTCACAGCACAACTGGAATCTAACAGGGGAAGAGGTGAAAGTAATCCTCCTCCTCCCACGACCACGCCGGCAAGGACAGGACGCTTTACAGACGTGTTGTTGATGGAGGACATGCGGAGCTTTTTAAGTCCTACGCATCGCCACAGCCCTTCGGGGTCCACCCTCAGAGAACGACTCGACCGACAGGTAGCAGACTACCTCGCCTTAACTGCAGATATCGACACTCTGAGGAGCGATGAACCCCTTGACTACTGGGTGTGCAGGCTTGACCTGTGGCCTGAGCTATCCCAATTTGCGATAGAACTTCTGGCCTGCCTCGCTTCAAGTGTCCTGTCAGAAAGGACCTTCAGTGCAGCAGGAGGTATTGTCACTGAGAAGAGAAGTCGCCTAGGTCAAAAAAGTCTAGATTACCTCACCTTTTTTTAAGATGAATGAGGGATGGATCCCAAAGGGACTGACAGTGGGCGATACATTCGACTAAAAAAGGCCTGATGAGGGGGATGTAACAGGGTGTCGCGGCTGCCAGCCCGCCGCGTGATATTTAAATCCCTAGCTCACCCCAGTACCTTGCCCTGTCGTGGTTTCCTGTTCCTGGTTTCCTGAGAGTGCTTTATCATTGTGAATCTGATTTCCTGGTATCCTGATGTTGGCTTTTCCCTGGTTATTCTGAATTCTGGTTTCCCTGACTTGGTTTGTGTAAACGGTATTGTGTATTTTCTGGCTTCCTTGACCTCGGCTTTCCCTTTGACCATTCTCTGTCTCTAGCGTATTAGTCCGGCCATTCTAAGGTCCGGTTTACGCTCTGTCCTTTTATTTTCCTTTTCTTGCCTATGTATATGTTTACATAGTTTCTGCGTGCTGGACCACACTAGTAGTCGTGACATTGGGATTAAACTGATAAGAATAGTACTACTTAACACACCACTCCTATCTGGTGGCACATTAGATTGCACGCGCAGTGCCCCAAATTTGAAGAAGGAGGACCGACCAAGCATCTTTTTCCATCTCCCGGTTCCTAAAATCGATGCCATATACACGTCTCCTGATAGGGGACGTAACAGGGATTAAACTGATAAGAATAGTACTACTTAATACACCACTCCTATCTGGTGGCACATTATATTGCACGCGCAGTGCCCCAAATTTGAAGTAGGAGGACCGACCAAGCATCTTTTTCCATCTCCCGGTTCCTAGAATCGATGCCATATACACGTCCCCTGATAGGGGACGTAACAGGGATTAAACTGATAGGAATAGTACTACTTAACACACCTTATAATAATGCAGAGAGAGGCAATGCAGAGAGAGGAGTCTGAAGAAGAGGAGTCAGAGGAGGAAGGTGGCCTTGAGGAGATGGAAGACCAAACACAACAGGCGTCCCTTGTTGTCACCTTTTGGGGACCCTTGGTGTTGTACGTGGCTGAGTGGAGGAAGAGACCTTCAATGACATCAGTGAGGACTAGGAAAGGGACATGGCTAGCTTGGTATCCAACCTTGTGCAAATGGGGAGTTTGCGGTTGTGCAAATGGACTGTTTGCGGTTGTTTGCGGTGCGTTAAACGGGGAGTTTGGTCTGTCACTGTGAAGCGGGTGTAACCCTTACACTACCTGATCGATACAACATCATACCTGATGTTTTAAAGCACGTTATTCCAAACAATTTAGGAATGTTAGGTGATTTATGCCCTTAATGGATTAAAACCAGACTCTGCATCAACTATGTAATTTTCCATGGGAGTTTTGCCATGGATCCCCCTCCGGCATGCCACAGTCCAGGTGTTAGTCCCCTTGAAACAACTTTTCCATCACTATTGTGGCCAGAAATAGTCCCTGTGGGTTTTAAAATTCTCCTGCCTATTGAAGTCTATGGCGGTTCGCCCGGTTCGCGAACATTTGCGGAAGTTCGCGTTCGCTGTTCGCGAACTGAAAATGTTATGTTCGCAACATCACTATAGAACATTGCTGTTTTTGTTGTGAAACATTCTTATTCCTGAAAGTGATGGCGAATATCGTACTGATCTTATAATGAATAGAGGGTTTATTACCTATAGGTTTATTATATTTTAGTGCATGTTATCTATGCAATGCATTAATAAATGACAGGAGGACAGGGATGAGGATCAGAGTTTACATAATGCATTAGAAAATAAGCTATGTTATGTCATCAGCAACTATAATGTTATCAGCAATTGATAAAAAAAATTAAAAATTGCATATATAATATTGCAAAAAGTAAATCTTCACATAATGATCACACACCGCATAATGGTTGTACACCCATTTTTAAGGAAAGAAATCAGGCATAAAATCTGTAACTATTATGTGGTGAAATATGGTTAATATATTAAACTACAAATTCTTTCGAAATTAAACAGAAAAGCAAAATAAAACACAATATTTTGCACCTAAAATGTCCTTGTGGTTATTTTTGCACATTCCCCTCATTTTAGGTCTGGTTTTGCAAAGGGCTTTGCTCACTGGTATGAAAAATGATTTGGATAGGTTGAGGCAGATGGTCCCTGACGTGGTTGTCATATGGTTGGAGATGGTACCGCAATTGCAATGGCATCGGGAGTTGGAAGCTCAGTTGGAGGGGTATTACAGGCATGATGGGGTACATCTATCAGAGGTGAGAATGTACTTTTTGTTGTTAGGGTTTCAGGAAGGTTTACACATAGGTGGGGTGCTCAGGTAGCTCAAGGTGTCAAGATCTGAGCTATGGCGGGGGATGGATAGAGAAGTTGGGGTGTAGGTTGTTTGTCCTGATGTAAAATAGTTTGGTTCGCTAAGAACAGTTAGGGTTGGAAGAGTATTGGTAGGTACGAGCTTGTTGGTAGCTCCGAACTTGGTGTGTGTAGGGTGTATATCGGTATACCCCTACATGGAAGAAAGCTGGAAATTGTGCCTTTAGTCGCAATGATTATGTTTATATGTTAATTATATGTTCTAATGTGGGTTTATTTTTTAGTGATGTGGGTTATTGTCTGGGGTAATATTGTTAAAGGAGTTGAGGTTTATATGTTATGTTAATATGTGACAAGGCCTTAAAATATTTTAAGTATTATTTATATATTATTAAAGCTGTGATAATTTTCCCAAATAAAGGTGTCCGAGTATTTGTGGGGGGGAGGGGGTGGGGGCATTTAAGTTTGTCAAGCATATGCTGAAAAAGGCAACTATGCAAATGTTATGTAACAGATTGCTTGAACAGGTCCATTGCCTATTCTATTGATCACAATTCTTTGTCAATTTCATGTACCCAGTTCATACACTGAATCCCACACAGTAGTAAAATTAGGGTGTAATAGCTAAATTTGGTTTGTCTGCTTGTTCAGTAGTCAGAATTTTAGCTTAACATAAAATACAAAGTATGTTTAGGGTCTGTGCCAGAGGGAAACTCAGTCATTTTATTACTCATTACTACTATATTTCAATGAACAACACAGTATGAGACGTGACATACACTTTTCTAAATTCTTTCAGCTTCTGTATGTGATAAAATAGTCATATTTACTTCACAAATAATTTGTGCAAACAAGTTCAGACGAAAGTGTAATAAAGGGATTATCTTGGAATGGGATGTAGTAGGTCCTTGGTTCCCTGATCAAGCTCTGACCCACAAATATTTTTTCTGGATAATGCCCACATTCAGGTATTTCTGATTCCAAAAACAAACGAAGATAGCATATTATAGGCAAGGCTTGTTTTAAAGGTCATGTTGCAAAAATTAGCAAACAAAAACCCAGTTGCAGGTGAAAAAAAAGATATTGTATGGATTCCTAAGAAGTCACTGTAAGTATTGCATTGGGTCAACGTGTGAGAAGAGCAGAATGTAAGGAAGGATCTCAGAGGCATTGATTGCAAATTGTAAGTGGGTAATATGGACATATGCAAAACTGATGTAAAGTTTTAGTTAAAACTGCTGTTAGGGACCATTACAGGGCCAAATTAAGAGCCCATTGGACCTGGTTCTGACAATTCTGATGGGAATCAGAATTACAGAATCTTATCAACAGAAAACAGTAAAACAGTCATCCCTCCCAAGCGTCATGTATTTGGTGGAGGTGGTGCTGGATGGAAACTCACAGGATATAGCTATCAGAAAACACATACCCTATGCTAATCTCTTGATTTCATTTTTCAAGTAAATCCATACCCCCTAACAGCAGTGTCCG